AAAACAGTAGCTTGCTGTCATTATTCTCATGTACATATATATTCGTGTTATAAAATATAGAGACGTTCATTAAAACAGTAGCTTGCTGTCATTATTCTCATGTACATATATATTCGTGTTATAAAATATAGAGACGTTCATTAAAACAGTAGCTTGCTGTCATTATTCTCATGTACATATATATTCATGTTATAAAATATAGAGACGTTCATTAAAACAGTAGCTTGCTGTCATTATTCTCATGTACAACACGAATATATATACACATGAGAGTAATGACAGCAAGCTACTGTTTTAACGAACGTCTCTATATTTTATCAGCTACTGTGTTGTGGAGTATTCCAGGGTTACTGTGACAAAATACACCTACAGAGAAAAACTTCCTTCGTGTGACGAACTTTTGGTTCAATTAAGGAGATCCCAAAACATAAGTATTATGAGAAATTATTCGTGAGTTTGTACACAAATTAATTATTTTAATATTCTAATGTATAGCAGCCTAGGCCAGCACGTGGAACGAATCATAATTACTTTGTTCATATGTCCAAGTAACAGCAAATGTAACATTAACATCTTTAGACGATTTCTAGATGGACGAAATAAGTTATATTTATTACTCTAATGTTAATTTCTCTAACATATCTGCCAAAATGTTAAATAAATATGTATTTAGTATGAGGACTATTTTACACTGTTAGTTTACATATGGATTTAGAACTAACCTAAATCTCTCAAGCTGGTTGAACTGTGAGATAAACTATTGGTATAGCTGGTTGAACCTTGTGATAAACTATTGGTATAGCTGGTTGAACCGTGATATAAACTATTGGAATAGCTGGTTGAACCTTGTGATAAACTATTAGTATAGCTGGTTGAACCTTGTGATAAACTATTGGAATAGCTGGTTGAATCTTCCAATAGTTTATCACACGTTTCAACCAGCTATTCCAATAGTTTATCACAAGGTTCAACCAGCTATTCCAATAGTTTATCACACGGTTCAACCAACTATTCCAATAGTTTATCACACGGTTAAACCAGATATTCCAATAGTTTATCACACGGTTCAACCAGCTATTTCAATAGTTTATCACACGGTTCAACCAGCTATACTAATAGTTTATCACAAGGTTCAACCAGCTATTCCAATAGTTTATCACACGGTTCAACCAGCTATTCCAATAGTTTATCACAATAGCTGGTTGAAACGTGTGATAAACTATTGGAATAGCTGGTTGAACCTTGTGATAAACTATTGGAATAGCTGGTTTAACCTTGTGATAAACTATTGAAATAGCTAATTGAACCGTGTGATAAATTATTGGAATAGCTGGTTGAACCGTGTGATAAATTATTGGAATAGCTGGTTGAACCGTGTGATAAACTATTGGAATAGCTGGTTGAACCGTGTGATAAGCTATTGGAATAGCTGGTATTTAAAATACTCTGGTTTATAATAGTAACTGTTTTATAATATAAACTAGTATTATCGTAATCAGTCTAGAAATGATTATCTGCCTTTCCATCTGTATAAATGGAACATGTATAATCCACTAGAGGGCTTTAAGACACAGAAATTAAACCTCATATAATCCTTAGGAGATATTACCCACTAGGCCTTAAAATTTAATGTATTCATTACTTGTTCACATTTCTAACGGTGGATTCATCGTAATAATTATGAACACTATAAGAAGTAAGGAGTAAACCTACCTGACGAAAATAGAATAGGGGAAAAAATCCTTTTATGAATAAGAATTGTGGATTAAACTTTACCGAATTACAGACACACACATATTCCTTATATGCTAGATTTAATCGTCATAGTACAACAACAACAACATTATATAAGCGTCAACAGTAAAGTTTTATTTTTATACAGCTGCTTTACAATAAGCATACCGCTGTTTTGGGTACAATTACTTCTCTTACGAAATACATCATAACAGAATAACCAGCGCAATCATTTTCAACAGAGCATGAGAAATATGCGTGGATTATTTCTGGCCTAGGCTTCACTCTTCTTTTGTAAAGTTACAAAAAAAAAACGGCAGGATAAAAAAACTTATTATAAAAGTGAGCAATTAAATGACTTTACGTCTCCAGTAAAACAACCTGTAGTTGAAGCTATGGTTAACACTGATAAAGATAAAAAACCCGTAGTTGAAGCTATGGTTAACACTGATAAAGATAAAGAACCCATAGTTGAAGCTATGGTTAACACTGATAAAGATAAACAACCCGTAGTTGAAGCTATGGTTAACATTGATAAAGATGTAATATTATAGATGTAATAAACATAAAATGTTCAAGTATTGGATAAGTTTTGGAGCTTCAGTCACGTCGCTAATTCCATGCTTTTACTGTTTCTATCAAATATTCTGTAAGATTACATTTATACTCCTGTACGAGAGAATTTATAAAAATACATGTCAATAAAAAAATTATAAAAAGGAAGCAAATAACACTCGTCATAAGTAACTAAATGGGATTTTCTTAGCGCGTGTCCACTGCGATCACTTACAATATCAGTTCGCTAAGTATGTTTTTTTTTAATTAACACTCTGAACCAATGCTCTAAAGATATAAGAGTTGTAAAACATGGTCTAGATTAGACTATAATTTTGGATCTAACATTTCGATTGCAAATCAGAATTGTAAATGATAACTCACATTTCACATTAAGCAAGATCCTTTTGCTAACAGAAGGTTGCACCTGGTTTGAGGCTATACAAAGATAGGCTCCCATGTGTGTTCTTTTGACGTGGTTGATGTCCAGAGTATCTCCCACGACCTTGGTAACTGTAATACATGATGATTAAAACATCTTTGCTAGATCGAAATAATTGTCTTAATAACGATTAAACAGAACGATTACCATTTTAAGTACATTTTAATTAAATAAAAATCTATTAACGGCTAGGGTTCCTGTTCACGAGAATACCGAAATTCAAAATATGCGAAGAAAAAATACTGTTACTAAACGCAGCTTGCATGGTGATTTAATAAAGAAAAAACACGTTTCATAAATATTTTAACGTCATTCTATGAAAAATACAGAAATACTACTTATTGTAATAAATTACCTCTGGGAACGTTCTGTTGGTAACGTTGACCACAACATTGCAGGCTAAAGGAACAGCCTTTGTTAAATTTTGTTGATTTTTTACTTTATTTGAATTGAACGTTCAGCTTGGTTACTATCAAAGATTAATAAATCTTAATCCTGTTATCAGCAGGATTAATCAGTCTTATTCCTCTTAATTTTCTTCACAGCAGGATTAATCTATCTTAATCCTAATATAAACAGGATTAAGCAATTCAATTTTAACCCAATTATAAGCAGAATGTATCAATATTAACACTGTTTTCAGCAGGATTAACCAGTCTTTATCGTATTATAAACAGGATTAATCAAACTTAATCCTGTTATTATGAGGATTACCTTGGCTAATCTCGCTTCTGATGTGTGATGCAGGAAAACCTAATTACAGTAGAAATTGTTCGAGAAAAAAGGATATAAAAAAACTTTGTATTCTTATATGTATAACACATAAAGAAATATAACATGATCTCAACTTCTAACTAAAAATTACAAATGATTAATAGTTTTTGACGAGAATAACCTATGACTTTAATTGTAGGTAATGAATCTTTCTTCACTGACTGGTATTTAGGCCTACATCATATACAACATCAACGTTTTTATTTTTTTTATTGGAGGGGTAAGAACATTGAAAATTACATTATATAATAACGTGAAAAAGAGCTATCAAGACTAGCGAGCTTATTTTGAAAACTTTTGTGACCTTAGTATCACATAAAGCCTAATGTACTGATTATACACAGATCCTTTGCAGTGTCATTTGAAGCCGACTAACTCTGCGAAATAACAAGATTGGATCGTGAAATAAGTAATCTGTTGTCTAAACTTAATTAAGATATGTAATTAAGACACTCAAGCACTTCGTCACAAAGAACTATAGATACAAATTTTAGGATATATCGCCTCTGATTTCATCTGTGATAGAAATACACTCAACAGAAGAAGCTACTACGAGTAAAGTATAGAGAAAAAAAAACGATCATTCTCAAGTGTGTAGTAAACTTATTAAGCACCATTTCAAGACTTTCACACAAGCTCCAATAATAACTAGTTCAACTGATTCATTCTCAAGTGTGTAGTAAACTTATTAAGCACCATTTCAAGACTTTCACACAAGCTCCAATAATAATTATTTCAACTGATTTATTCTCAAGTGTGTAGTAAACTTATTAAGCACCATTTTAAGACTTTCACACAAGCTCCAATAATAATTCACCAGTAATCACATTCGCTGAACAGACTGAAGTTTTAATATACGAACAGATTACTACAAACTGTTAATTTCTACTAACAGTAGCCAATTACTTAAACGATCTCTGAGACGATATACCGAATCATAAACTCACTTTTGCTAACACGTGTTTGAGATTATATCTTATTTTATAATCCGGTTATAGACCTTGAGATTAAACTCAGTAAATCCAACTAGAAACCAGAAGGAAACTTATTACTTTCCATTGAACGAGGAAAGGTTACTACCAAGCTTCTCTGTGAAACCTGTTATGAGTAAAGTCAAGCATAGTAAATAGTATAGAGTATCATAAAAATAAATATCAGTTAGTTTGAGAAAAGTAGGACAAGGACAGAGACTAGTAGTGGTTTGGCCAATGTTCATCGTTAGATGTAACCATCTCACAATAGGTTACAAGATTTAGATCATGTTCACTTAAATTTAACAATGTTATGTTGAATTAAGTTGACCCTAAATGTAACCATCTTACATTAAGTAGGAGTTCGTGTTAAGTGTGAGATTAGGAGTGGTCACCTATATAGGTAGCTATATTACCTTAAGTGGGAGTTTGTGATATTTGGGCTATGTACCTTCCTAAATGTAACCATGATATCCTAGGTTGGAGTTCTGTTCACCCATAAGATAATCTTGTTATTTTGATTGGAACTTACTTGAATTATATTCACTGACAAACCTAACCATGCTGCCTTAATTACGAGGTTAATTTTTAACCATGCCGCCTTAATTAGGAGGTTAATTTTTAACCATGTTGCCTTAATTAGGAGGTTAATTTTTAACCATGCTGCCTTAATTAGGAGGTTAATTTTTAACCATGTTGCCTTAATTAAGAGGTTGATTTTTAACTATGCTGCTTTAATTAGGAGGTTAATTTTTAACCATGCTTCCTTAATTACGAGGTTAATTTATGCTTCCTACTTGAAGTTTTACTTACTTTACTTGGACTCTTCCAGACGTCGCCATTTTATCGTAGGTGGAAATACGTTATTTAGTTCGCATTCGTCTCAAAATGTAACCACATTGTATTAAGTGAGAATGTGTGGAAATTGGAACCTGAAGGCTTTATTGATTAATATTTTTTTAGTATTAAGAATAAAAAACAAAAACGACGTGTTTTGGGCTCAATGAAAGATAAACATCTTTATTATATAGTTCAGAGGAATAGTTTGGTAAAACAGTTATCGCCCTAGCTATCACCATAGTTACCTTTAACAATTATCTCTCTAGTTACCACCATAGTTACCTTTAACAGATATCTCCCTAGCTATCACCATAGTTACCTTGAACAGTTATCGCCCTAGCTATCACCATAGTTACCTTTAACAATTATCTCCCCAGCTATCACCATAGTTACCTTTAACAGATATCTCCCTAGCTATCACCATAGTTACCTTGAACAGTTATCGCCCTAGCTATCACCATAGTTACCTTTAATATTTATCTCCCTAGCTATCACCATAGTTACCTTTAACAGTTATCTCCCTAGCTATCACCATAGTTACCTTTAACAGATATCTCCCTAGTTATCATCATACTTACCTTTAACAGTTATTCCCCTAGCTATCACCATAGTTACCTTTAACAGTTATCTCCCTAGCTATCACCATAGTTACCTTTAACAGTTATCTCCCTAGCTATCACCATAGTTACCTTTAACAGTTATCACCATACTTACCAAAATTAGTTGGCTGATATATTTAATAAAGATTTTATATTTCATTGTGCCAAATAATTTTTTTCTTATTTAACTTTTAATATAGTAACATAATGTTCCTGAAAAGAACTTATGTCATTGTTAGTGTTGGAATATTTCTTTTAGTTTGTTTACAATAGCATATTAATTATTTGGGTGCTATTACATCATTTCACGTAGTGAACCAGGGCATTTTATTCCTGAAAATCTTTTATTTTCACCTAATTTTCCTTCTTGTGATTCTACCAATTTAATAGAAATAATTGACATTATTTTCATTACGGCCAACTCAGTAAATCTACGTGTAAAGTGTTAAAAAGCAATTGTAAGTGTATTGAAGTACCGTGTAAAGTGTTAAACAACAATTGTAAGTCTATTAAATTACCGTGTAAAGTGTTAAACAACAATTGTAAGTCGATTAAATCAGCGCGTAAAGTGTTAAACAACAATTGTAAGTCGATTAAATAAGCGTGTAAAGTGTTAAACAACAATTGTAAGTCGATTAAATAAACGTGTATAGTGTTAAACAACAATTGTAAGTCGATTAAATTACCGTGTAATTCTTAAACAACAATTATAAGTCGATTAAATAAACTTGTAAAGTGTTAAACAACAATTGTAAGTGTATTGAATTACCGTGTAAAGTGTTAAACAAAAATACTGCTCGCGAGATGGACTATTTCTGGTAAAAAATATATTAAAGTTTTAAGTAGCATCAAATAAGTTCGTTAAATTATTTACAAAAAAAACATTCAAGAGTTAGAATATTTCAAGTAACATTTTAAATTTATAGCCGAAAAAGAAACAACACTTATAAACATTTAAAGTGAAAGTTCCAAACTGCTTTCTGCTATGTTATCAAAGTAAACAATTTCGGTTGTTTGTGTGTTGTTAAAACGCAAAGCTATACAACATGCTATCTGTGTTGTGCCCACAACTGGTATTAGAACCCAGTTTTTAGCATTGTAAGCCTTCAGACTTACCGCTGAGTCGGTGGAAGGCTTAGAGTGAACAAATCCACCAGTTAACGATTTATTTGTTTATTTGTAATTAAGCACAAAGCTACACAATGGGCTATCTGTGCTCTGCCCACCACGGGTATCGAAACCCGGATTTTAGCGTTGTAAGTCCACAGACATACCGCTGTGCCACTGGGGGGCCCAGTTAACGAGATAAAAATCGGTTAAGAAAAACTGTAATCTGTAAAGAAACAATGACGTGTCTAGGGTAACAAGGGCATTGTTTCATTTTTGTAACACGTATACAGGATGATATTGTTCAGAAATACACGTTTATTTCTGCGATGTTGTCTACCTAATATTAAGTACTATGTATTGGCTGCTACATGACAAAGCGGAGAGAGAATTCTTTATCGAAAGTTCGCTTAACAACGGGAATAGGCGGTAAAGTAATTGACCATTTCCGTTATACACAAACAAACTTCGAACCGAAATCCACATTTAGGAGGGAGAGGGAATGCATCCACCAAACAAGAGCACTATATCAAAATTGTTCTAGGTCAGCTTTTTGATTCGGTGTCCAGCAAGAGCTTCCTTAATAAAACTAACACTTCATTGGTTCTCTTTGTGTGACGGCAAGACAGCTCGTGCTGATAATGTGCAACTTGCGGTCAGCTCCAATAATAAAACAGTCAAATGGACAGATCAAGGCCAATCACATGAGCTTCTAATTACGTAACGCCGACACATTTGTCCGTGTTTCCGCTTTTTTGTGTGTGTGTGTGTTGAGCTTATAAAAGCTACCACATCTTAGACCAATTGAGTCTATTACAGACTCGTTTGAAGACGGTAATTATAGAACATTAACTGTCGGGTAAAGATCCCTTACTGATGGCATCTCCATCACTTTCTGGTCGCTCCTATTGTTGACCTGAAAAAAGCGCTTATAATAAAAACAGAAAAAAATACATAGCTTAATGTGAGGAAAAGGAGGGGTAATTTCGGTAATAGACACAGTTTTATAAAGATTAAGTAAGGTCAAAGTGGTTTAAGGATTAGTTAGGAAGAGTTGAAAGTTGAATATGAAGTTTTTGTTTTGTTTTGTATCCTTGACAAAGATTATGTAGTAGGTTTACTTCGTGTAAGTCATCTATTTAGGAAAAAAACATCTGTTCTTGATGAGATAATCACTTAAATAAGTTCAAAATCTCACCTTTCTTCTTTCCCAGAATGATCTCCTGGTTATCTTCTCGTCTCCATGTTATATTTGGGGTAGGAATCCCCGATGCCCGGCACTGTAAAGTCACGTGACTTCCCTCCTTGACTTCTCTATCAGAACTGGTAATGTCTTCGTCGATTTTGGGCGGCACTAGGAACAACATATCGAAATATTTGATCAGGTTTTGTAAAATACAAATATATATATATATAGATCAGGTTTTGTAAAATACAAATATACATATATATATATATAGATGTAGGTTTAGTAAATATATATATATATATATA